TCATAATTAATTCTCCATAAGGAGGCAATCCAGGCTGTACAGATCTGCAGAAATTTCTTAGAAACAATTCAACCCCCTTGTTCTCATGTGAAATTAATAGGAACCAACCTGCTTCCCCGAAGTTAGGTAATGTGATGCTGACCACTAGCTGTTGCATTATTGACCTAAGAGCAAAAAAGCAATCCCAGACACAAACAAATAGTTAAATTCATTTGATTTTATATACATTAAAACAAAAATCTATTTAAGTACTCATGCAAGCTAAAACCAAACTGCTAAACTAACTAAATTATACTTAGTTAGTTTAGTTTAGTTTTCCAATTTTCATATTTTCATTACTGTGCAAACATCTTGAGCCGTCACTCGTTTTTTTATATTTTGCTAGGAAAATGGGAAATAGGAACACCGACTTCTTGAAATGTGAAAACGTAGGTGGAAATACAACATGTAAGTCAAAAATAGTGTTCGTATCATTCAAACCAGCTTGAAAGTTATTACTTAGTATGATCACCTTTAGGCAAGCTCTGATGATAAAAATCACTCGGACACACGTGGACCGAAGCAGGCTTGTGGAAAGCAGACATTATAGTCGAGACTTCAGGACAACTGTCTTGTAATTTCTTTAAATAGTCTTAAAGATTAGTTCTTTAAGCTTCTTGGTAGACATGCGAAGCTCTTCTTTGGATGCCTTTTGTTCCATTCTCTGTTAAGATGATCCTAAACTACCTCAATAATACTAAGGTTCAGGCTCTGGGGAGGCCAATCTATGACTAATAGCGTTCCATTGTTTGCTTTTCTATACATTTCTCTACATTATGCTTTTATTGCACTGGCAGTGTGTTTGGGATCATTGTTATGCTAAAGAATGAAGCCACTGCAATCAGGTCTTATTGGCAACCTCCTCCATATATTTTTAACCACATATATTGATGATGATTTTAACCAAAAATGTCAAATTTTGATCCATAAGACCAGTTGCCACTGCCACAATATGTTTCTTTCTCTTCCCTAAGATCGGCTTCTTGACAGCGACTCTTCCATAGATTGTTTTCCAGGCATGCAGATTTATTTTTCTTGAGTTAAGAGCCCTTTTAAGCTTGGATGATTCATAGGTGCTAAGTGGCTTAAAAAACAACCAACAAAACACTCATCTGAAAATGGTTGAGAAATTGGACTGAAAATGTAGCGAAAAAGCAGCCAATGTCCAAAGAACAAGGTTGAGAGACTTTCGTAACGCCTGGACATCTAAAGCTAGAGAGTACTTTAAAAAGCAGTCTTGCTCCTTGACACAAAACATAAAGAAATGAGGTTTAGCTCAAGCAATTTGCATACTGTAGTTGAAAAGTCTTAATATTTGCTTTAAGGGCGTGAATATGGGTACATTTTAAGTGGCCTTAAAATAAATTTTTATTGAACATGTTGTAATGACATCAAGACAGTGACACAGCACATAAATCAAGAGATGATTTCCTGGAATGTAGACTGTCTAGGGAAAACAATCAGCTATTAAACAGATGCTATACGTCCATGTGGAGGAACAAATCCTGCTTTCCATGAATTTTGAGGTCAAGGACTTAAAATTCCTGCTTCTATAGAGAATATTTCAGCTTATAATGGAATGACACCATAGCAGACCACATTATTAAAAAAAAATTAAAAATCAAACAAATAACAAAAAGAACTCACCAGGCAGCAGCAGTTGCCCACCATCCCACATTTAATATATCTGCTATTGTGGGCTTAAAGGGAGAAAATGAGAAAAGAATATTAGCTGAGCACCAAATAAAACCTATAATGAGTAGTTTAGCATTCATTTTAAGCTGGTTGAGCCTGTCTGAATATCCTGTTTGTGTTTACAGTAGCTGTCTAGTTTTGCACAGCACAAAGACCAAAAGTTCCAGCCAGAGGTTTTATTTTCCTCCTTTGTGAGGAAATTAGAGCACAGTCCTCGTCAACAGATGTGAGGATAACTATGTAAACAAAGAACCAGTGAGAAAACAAAGTAGCACACGGTTTAAATAAAAGCCCCAACATGTTGCTTTGATTATAGTTAGCATGCGAGGGCCTTGTTTCGGTGAATCAGTGCTGTACTCTTTCCTTTTAGTTGACGGTGTCCTGAGTCATCAAGGAGGCTTTACTAACCGTGTTACACTGACTGCTGACATAGTCTTTGATCAGAAGATATCTGCGTCTTTCATCTCACCTTGGTCACTAGACCATGTACGAATATGTGGTAACAGCTGGGAAATGACAGTTTTGTTTGTCTAGTAAATGATTTGAAATTTTTACAAATACAAATACCTCTATTAAGTTTCGGCTTATTGCCTCTTCCTATGATGGAAACATTTTAACATCAACTGTAAAATCGGCAGATAATTTACATCATTCCAGTGGAAGTTGCATTTTTTGTAAGTGACAAAAAAAGTGCCAGCTTGTACATTGCTTGATGTGTTAGCCAAGCAATCTTTTACTCTGAAACATCCACTTTAGCCATGCTTTCACGATTCCCTCTGCTTTCCCTACTGCCTGCACTATCCAGATTTATGGCTCCCTTTAGAGTGACGTCTGTATATGTGTAGGTGTGCATACATGTCATCAAGCAGGTATGAGTACAAATTGCATCATGTTTACTTGCGTCTATCCTTCTGTTCACGCAGGGAAATTAATTCGCGTATGGACATCAGAACGTGTAGGTGTGCAGTAATGCGTGGCTCAGTTTGTGTGATAGGTTTTGCGTGTGTTTATAGTCTCTGGCTTATGTAACTTACCACGTAGACGGATCGCATCCCGGCAGATGTTTTGTCCTCTTTCTTGGGATCACAGAGCGACTGGTAGTTATACGTACTCTTATTGGTGTACAGAGACGAGTTGATCAAGCTTCTCATAATACAAGGGTCGATCTCACCGAAGAATTTCCCAATCTAGTTTTGCAGCAGGGATCAGGTATTCAGGGCACAGAATAATAATTATAATTAAAAAATAAATAAATAAGAACTTGCACAAAGAAATCATATAATTAACAAGACAAATGCATGAGTAGTAAACATGCCTCAAGGTCCACAAACTACCTATAGCCCACAGATAAATGGTTGAACACAGCAAAAACTGCTAAACTTTTAAAATTGATATTGTAGTTGGGATTGTTCATTTACAGAGAGCCTAAGCTTCTTGATCATTTGAATTTATCATTATACTTTTGCCTAACTATTTATTAGGTACACCTTGCTAGTACTAGTACTGAACTGGACACCTGTTTTTTTGTAGAACAGATACAAAGATGTGTGGGAACTGTTCCTCAGATATGTTGGTCCATACTGACATGACAGAAATATATAATTGCTGCAGATTTGTCGGCTACACATCCATGATGCAAATCCTCCATTTCACCACTGACGACAGATATCTGGTGAAAGTGGAAGACATTTGAGTCCACTAAAGAAACCATTATGGAAGATCTGAGCTGTGTGGCATGGTGCGTTATCCTGTAGCCTCACTTTCTTGTTCTCAGCTGACAGAAGCCTGATGTTTGCTTTGAACCTGGCCATCATGACCATGTCTACATACCTAAATGTGTTAAGTTAGTGCCATGCGATTGGCTGATTGAGCAGTTAAACAGGTGTACCTAATAAAGTGGTCAGTGATTGTAAATTTGCTGAGAAAAAAAAAAAACCCACACAAAGTAAAACACGTGCAACAAAAAGTCGTGAAACTGTAGACATGTGCAAAAAAAAGTTCACAGAGAATTTAAAGACAAACAGACAGCAAATCACTCTCAAACCAGGATGACTGACTTCGGTATAATCTGATTAACACAGTCCATCGGGCAGCCATAAATTTTTACTTGGGGGAAGTAGTTTGCCTCAGTATATCAGAGGTATCACATGACTGTCTGCATGGAAGTGTTTAAGTAACAGTGTTTCCAGGAGGGTGTGTGTACAGTAAGTAGTGCTCTGTGTGTTTGTACTTTATGAATGCAGTTAATCGCTCAGGTCACTGCTAACAAGCTGTCCTCCATTTATTCATTCCTCTTTATCTTAACATTCGCAGGATATATAAATCTTTAATCTAGAAGGTAAAGTGAGCCTTCTTTTCTTTCCACGTACAATAACGCAAATAATGAATTAACAGTCCCGGCACTGTTAGCTTGCAGACTCCCGGAGGGCGTTTTGGAGAAAGCAAAGGAATAAGCTGGGGAGAGAAGGACATAGTAAGAGGGAGAGAAAAGGGGAAGCTCACAGAGAGAGAAACATTGCTGTAGGAAATATGACTGAGGGCACGCTGCCTTTTATAAACAAGGTCACTGGGTTTTTAGTACTGCTGAGGCAACTGATTTATCCACCATACACCCAACTCTGATTAGGGAAGGAGTTGAGGTGGCATGAAAACATTTACTCAGATGACAACAGAGGCCCAGTGTCAGCCTTTAGAATAAGACAATAACATCTATTTTCTGTATTTGGGCTTTGTGAATTAGCTAATAATAGGAAGCCCTGGGAAAGCTTTATTAGGCTCCCTTGTTATGTTTTTTTTTTTTTTTGGTAATAAAAAAGCAAATTTAGGCTTACTGAAGATTCACAAAAGATTTGTTGTGATATTTAAACTTTTATGGGCTTTGTATTAGAAAGCTGGCAAGTTAAAGACAAACTGCATTAGGCGAGTCCAGGAAAAGGTCAGTCTGTGTGTAAAATGACTGGTTGTTGAATTCAATTCAACTTTGAGCATGTAAGTCCTTTGGCAGTAAAAAAAGAATTTCTTTCAAGGTCAAGAAAAATGAAAGAAATGTTGTTTTGGCACAAAATATTTCAACTTAAATCCAGCTTACCTTGAACGCTCCAATTTCATTTCATGAACAGAATTTGATCACTTGTTACATTATCTATACACTCATGTGAAAAGTTACGTTTTTATAGGGTTCTATGTCCTGTGGAAAACTAAACACACCCTTACTGTTCCCAAGGTAGGTAGTAGCCAGGTACTGCTAATTAGATACAAAGTTGTGGCAGTTTCCAGATGAGGAGAATTCAAATGTCTTTTAACATAATTCCACAATCATCTGAGCAGTGGACGTCTGAGCAAATTCACCCAAGTATGAGAGTCAAATATGAGGCTATCTGTCCAACAGCTAAACCTCGGCTGACACTTGGTCATTCAACAGGACAAATACCCCAAGCATAGTAGCAAATCTACAACCGAATGACTGACAAAGAAAAGAATCACGATGTTGCCATGGCCCAGTCAAAGTGCAAATTCTCCAAATGAACTAATTGAAATGCTGTTGCGTGACTTTAAGAAAGTAGTGCACAGACAAATGCATGCAAACCTTAATGAACTGAACAATGTTAGGAAGAAGAGTGAGCCAAAATTCCCCTGCAATGATGTAAGACACTGATAAAGCTATACAGAAAATGATTACATCAAGTTCATGCTCCCAAAGGTGGTTCTACAAACTACTAGATGATGGGGTGTTAAGCTTTCACAGGACTACAGAATTCTGGTCACATGAAATCAGGCAATCACAGATCATCACAGACCATATAATGATCTAAATCACGAGTTAAAGGGTCTAATTTTAAAGGGTTTTTTTCCCTTTTAAATCATTTTCCACTCCTGTGTTGTTTCTTGTTTAGATAATAGACTTAAGGAACTAATGAATAAGTTCCCAGGATACTATTTAAGTATACGTATTTAAATACTACACTATTCTAAATTCGAAGTACCACAAAATAATCATGTCACAGTATCTAAAGAAATAAAATCAGTCATCAGACCACCAAATATCAACCTAAAATAAATGCTCCAAATTCACAGAGAAGTGAAGGAGAAGACATACAAGTATCACTAATGACAGTTCATGGTTAGTAAATCATGAACAGAATAAATAATTGATTAGTGGAATTAAAAAAAATACTAATAATGAGTTCAATATTAACAACTAACACTAACAACTACTTGATGCTTGTTAAAAGGTCATATTTAGAAATACTCAACTTCTTATCAGAATCACTATGAATGAAATGAAATGAAAAAAAAAAAGAACAAAATCCAGAGGCCCACCTCATTAAAATGGTCAATCTGATTGGTCATCACCAAGAAGCCTCCATCATCCAGAATATAACAGTTTAAATTCTGGAATTAAACAGATGATTAAACCAGCGCTGATTTTCATCCAAAACTAACAGCAAAACATTTTCTACATACCCGAACCTCTTACCTTATCGCCTATCGTACAGCCACACAGCTCATCCTTGCACTTGAAAACATAGGAGGGGCAAAATGATGAAAACTGATATGAACGACAAAATGTATCTAATTGCGCACATGCTGAATATGTCATCAAGATAGGATCTACTCACACTTTTTCTCTGTGAGGTGTTGGAGAAGATCTCTCTCCACATATCTATGTCCAAATGTACACCGACCACTGGGTTAAAACACAAAAGCCAGACATCCTAGATCATACTGGACCTCTGTGTCAACTTTCCACTCTGAACTCAGAAAATGGAACTTGGCTAAAGATCACAGACAACTAGACAACTTGATGTGTGGTTTGTGTATGTGTGTTTGTGTATCTATGGCAGAGGGAAGAAGAAATAGACAAACGTAGTGGCTATTAAATTAGAAGCAGCAAGTGTTCTTGGAGGAAAAGAAGTTCACACTATAGGGTGTGGATCTATAAATAAGATGCATCGCTTTAAGCGTAAGTGTGTTTATGTGTAGGCGGTTTAATAAAAGATAGAGCATGAGAAATGGAGCTTAAACATGTAAACACTCTTTGGGTTGTGATTTGTATTTGTGCACGTGTGTTCTTACCAGCTGGTTTGAGTGTGGTATCGTCAATCTTGAGGTTTACTGCTTTACTCACTAGAACTGAACCCTCATATTGAGCTACAAGAAAAACCAAGGAAACGCTGCATTGAAAATGGTATGATCATATTTTCATTTTATGGCTTTTAACAATTTCCTGGCTTTATCATTAAAAGTTAAACTAAACAAATTAACAATTCACAAAACTGTCTAAGGAGCTTGGAAAGAAAAGCATCTGGACTTCTTTAAGTTGCTTGAAGACGTTTCACTTCTCATCCGAGAGGCTTCTTCATTTCTAGGATCAAATGGTGGAGAGTCCCAGATTTAAGCCCTGTGGGAGTGTCCCCACAAGAGGGACATGGACCCCCTAATGATCCTCTACCTAATCACACAAGCTAAGGTGTGAAAACGGGTGTGGGTCACAATCAGCCAAGGTTTCGGGTGAACTCATTGTGAAACCTGGCCCCACCCCATCATGTGATTTCCTGAAGTCAAAAGGCCCAGGATGTAGGTGGGCGTTAAAGCGTCTGGGAAGAGATCTCAGAACTGGATTATAGATGGCAGACAGTTGGTGTCGTAAACCACCGCCTCTGTTCAAAGAGGGCTGTTCACAGTGGACATAGATGGCTTTGTTCACTCCTCTTTCAAACCGTCTGTCTTCTCTGTCCAAAATGTCAACATTGGTGTCCTCGAAAGAGTGACCTTTGTCCTTTAGATGGAGATGGACTGCAGAGTCTTGTCCCGTCGAGGTGGCTCTTCTATCTTGTACCTTCTCAGACGAGAGGTGAAATGTCTTCAAGCAACTTAAAGAAGTCCAGACGCTTTTCTTTTCAAGCTCCTTGGACTATCATGACCTAGATGACAGAGAACCTTCACAGACAATTCACAAAATTGTTACTGTTGTCCCCTCACCCACTACACTCAACTTTCTTTTAAACTGTCCATTTGATGCTCCTTTAGTGACTCATTCAAACAACTGTATGCTTTACTGTATAAAAACACTGTATACTACTGAAGCGTTTTTTACTTCAGAAAAAATAAGTTAGTTACTGAGTGTGACTCTAAGTTAGAATCACAATTTGAGCACAAGAGAACCAGATCTGATCACAATTCATTGTAACCATTGTAACCATTTAGTCATCTGCGAAGGTGAAAGTCAAGACAAAGGTGAGAACTGAGGTAAAGGCTCAAGCCTTGTTGTGGGTTTATTTCCCACAAGCCCCCGATAGAGAGATTTAACAGCTAATTATTTAGAGCTCAGACAGTGTCTGCCTCTTTATAGCTTGATACTGATATGTTTGTGAAAACTGAACTGTGTTGAACCCCCTGGTGACTGCGTTGTAGCGAGTCATTCTTTAGCTTACTTTGCAGGTTGTACGGCATTGCACAAATATGTTACACAGTGACGTGGAGTATTCACGGAAGAGCTTGATCTTCAAAGGAGGCTTTCTGGGTATTTTAGCCAAAGTTGTCTTTGGGAGAGAATAACTCTTAGGTGATGACACAACCGAGTAGCTGTTACTCACAAATATTTTCGAATACAGTTGGAGTGAAGATGTACAGATCGTTGTCCAAACTTCGCTTGTAGAAGCTTAAATCATACGTCTCCGCTTGTCCAGTCCAGTCCAGGCCATTACTGTAAAAATAAAGATGAGTGCATTCAAAGATTACCAATATAATACTACCATGACCACATTTTTGACTCTAATATCTATAGATCTAATTCTAACTGCAGTTCTTTGTTTATCACGCTCACATTTAATAACAGTAATAATAAAATGTGTTTATAGAGCACCTTTCAAAAATCAAAAACAAGATAGGAAACAAATAGCAATAAAATATTTAAAGAAGAGATAAAGATGAAACAGTATTAGGGGAATGCTGGTAGCAGGAGAAGATTAAAAAGTGAGAAGAAAATAAAAAAACAGGTAAATTAAAAACAAATTTTAAACATTTGCTAAGAAGAGATGATTATTTCTGTCTTATCCATGTTTAACTGCAGGAAGTTCTGTGCCATCTAGCATTCAATATATTGCCTTTAGTGTTAAAGAGATGTAAAGCTTTGTGTCATCTGCATAGCAGTGAAAACACTGTGCCTACAGATAACCTGTCCCAGGGGTAATATGCATAAAGAAATCAGAAGTGGTCCAAGGACAGAGCTTTGCGGTACCCCACAGACCAGAGTTGCCAATGACTTACCCTATCCTGTAAGTAAGAATAAAACTTCCTTAAAACTGAAACTGAAATGATTCAGTAAAATACAGGTTTTACCAGAATGGGAAGCAAAGTAAATCACTCATCACTCTGAAGGGTGCCAAAGGAAAGCAAACAATTTTTCAGCAACAATCCTTGAGAAAAAATAGATCAGACTCTCTCTCTCTAGTATACCTTTTGTCCTGTCTCTCTCTGTTCTGTTGCTCCTCATCCCCAACTGAAGAAGAGTTTTTTTCTTCCTACTGTCACCATCTGTTTGATTATTAGGATTTTCTAAAAGCTCTTTACCCTACAATGAAGTATCTTGAAGCAACTGTTGTTGAGAATTGGCACTATAGAAATTAAATAGAGTAGATTCAAATAAACTGGAATTAATTTAAAATTAGAGTTTGTAGATGAATCTAACGTTATCCAAGGAGATAGAGAAGAAACAGAAAAGGTCTTTTTAAAGGTTGTACAAAAACTTTTTAAAAATGATACATGGACAAAACTTGTACAAGTGATGCATTAATTACAAATACCATGTGTGGCATGACAAATAATATTTATTATTATTATTATTATTATTATTGTGTACTTATTTTAATAATCACGTAAGTAAGTCTTTTTTAAAAGTGAACAGCAGTTTCACGATCTCCATCATATCCTGAGCAACAGACGGGATGTTGAGTTCTAGTCACATGACTTATACAGTAAGATGCCACTTTTTTGACATGGTCTCTACTATCGTTGATAGGAGCAATATAGGGATGGAGACAAAGTTCTAAATTTATTTGTCAAGCTATTGCTCAACCTTTACTTAAGGTGTATGAACTAACTGGATATTGACTTTTCTGTGGGATCACTCTAGAAGTTTAGGTAGATAGAGGAGGGGCAGAATACTGTAGCTGGACTTTCTCACAGAAAAGGACCAGTTAAGATGGCTGGAATGCTTCTATGTAGAGGTATTCTAGACATGTTTTGCTGGTAGGATCCCCAGGGAAACCCCAGAACTTGCTGGAGGAACTAAATATCCAATCTGGCCTGGGAAAGCCTTGGCAATCCCCAGGAGAAGCTGGGTCAAGCACCTAGGGACCAAAGTATAAGGTCCAATGGGCCACTTTGCTCAGCTTATACCACCATCACCCACTGACATACAGCAGTAAATAGATATACATTTATATCCAAACATACATAACAAATCTGACTTTATGCCATAACCACTAAAAATCAAGCACTACATGGGTAAGTTGCTGCTCTATAAGCAGACCACATCATAATACTTTATCAGATAATCCTAAACATACTACATGTTTCTTCCCATGATCCTAAATCAACCCTGCCCTTGATCATCTAAGAAATACCTTGTGGGGTAGACTCGTGTGATCCCTCCTTCAGTCGCAACATATCTGGACATGACACCGTTTCTGACAAGCAGAGTAAAATAAAGCTGTAAAGCATACCGTTACAAAAACTGGAATGTGCTTTATCTTTGACATTAACTGAAATACTTGAACCACCTGTGTTCAATTTTTTCCACCTGGTCATTCTTTACCAAATACCAGTGCTTTACTTACATCGGATCGTTTTCTTTCCATATCTTGATTAGATCGGAGGTGATGCCAGCATCGAGGAGCAATCGGTTCACCAAATCCACATTGCCTAAACAGCAAAACAGACTTTTGAGCCTCAGTATTTTACCTTTGGAATAATATGCGAGTGAGTCGGTAGACTTCTGTTAGGCATCAGTCTTGAAATGTCTCATCTCAATAAGCTGATGTTGCACTTTAAAAAATTATGTGGAATAAAAACAAAAGAAAATGGTGGAGCATCAATAGTTAACATTAACAGACAAGAGTAACCACAAACTCTGCTGTGAGAAAAACAGAAATACTGTCAGAAACAAAAACATGCTTGGAAATATTTTAACATTTGCATCACATTTTATGTATCCAGAACCAAATCCCAAACTGAGAGAAGGGAACAAGATTAAACTGAGATATTACCAAAATCACAAACACCTAAAAAGATCCAAATGGAAACAAAGCTGAAAGAATAAAGCTGAAGCAATGTCACAAATGAAAATTTTCAGAACAAATATTACTCTTTGAAGAAAAGAGCGTCTTAAAATCAGAAACAGATACTGTATTAAAGCACTGTAGGAATGAAACACGCATTTTCATGCACACGCCTCCTCCTCTGGGGTAGGTGGTAGGGTAGCACAGGTGTTACAAAAATACCCATTTTGCGGTCTTCTGTGAAAAACCACATGACAAAGGTAACATATGATACAAGCTGCTCGTCCATTTCTTTTTTTTGTTGCTATGCCCGCCTCTTTGAACCCACAGGCGACCCTCTTCAGTCCATTAACATCGAGGCTCGTCGGTGCACCCCCTCCACCTCCTCCAACCTTTATGACACACCACACACACATCAGAGAAAACAGCTGGTGTAACACTTTATTTCCCTCCTACTCCACCTTCCCTCTCTGTGCAGTGTTTTTCATTAGAGACTCTTTATTGGAGGCAGCCCAGGAATTCCTAATGTACTTCAACTTCTTCGCCACTGCAGTGGCTTAACCAAGTAAAGCGTGTAACGATGCTCGAACCCCCAACAGTCCACATGGGCCTCCTCTCTCTCTCCTTCTCTACTCTCTATGGACTCCATTAAACTGGCAGCTAATAATGGTGAAAGTAATATTTCAATTGGGTGAAAAGTTTTATTGGATTGATCCTGTTGAGATGTTTGAAGTAAGTTATTAAATGCACACCATCAAATTATACCAAGGAACACAATATAGGAGCTCTTTTATAAATATCAGGGGACCTTTTGGTTTACTCAGCCCCCCCCCCCCAAAAAAAAGAGTGATCCATATCAATGAGCGCATGTAAGAAATGGCAAGGATGTTAATGCATTGGTCAGATGTTAGGGAAAAGGTCCACTGGTCCCTGATTTGTGTTTTATTGCTCCGCTCACGCTCTCGGCTTGACGTGTCCTGCTCTTTCTCACAAACACAGAGTAATTGGATGAGGTCGAGCGGCTATAGGTGGGGTGTGGAAGGCATATTGCTATCGAATACTGTGTGTGTGTGTGTGTCACACATCTAAGCCGACGTGCCTCACACATGTGCAGTCAGGCGTGTGATGGTCAGACTTTTAGAGTTAGCATCAAATGGGTAACACGAACAGAGGGGTTCAACATTACAAAGCTTTGCCTAGTCATGCACACCAAACCATCCAGCCAGACCTGTACTTCACTGGAAAGAGAGACTTCTGGGAGTATGTTTGGGTTGGCACTCTTCCAGTAAAAAAAATGTTTTTTTCATGTAAACCTACTATAACAAATAGTGCTCACATCATAAGCATTGGCACCAAGAACATGCAAAATGGACAAAAATTGTGGTAAATATTTCTCCCTTTTTTGATACTTACACATGGGGTTGTTTGGAGTCTTCCTGTCAATGTAATCGTTAAACCTCTTGAGGAACTCGGTGGTGTTGGCATCAGGCTTTAAGTCCTTGCAGTAATCTCTGTTGGCAATGGAACAATTCTCCAGTCATACTGAGTAAAAGTTATGTTAGAAGTAACTTTATAAAAAGTTGTCTGTGCCTTCTTACCTCGGTGCAATCAGTGTGTAGCCATATTCATCAAACTTGTCAGCCATGAGGCTTTCAGAAACTGCGATAAGTATAAAGTAATATGAGTTTTCCCCAATAAAGGTTCAAAATTAGGTTCAGAATAGACAAGTTAATAAGAGCCACTATATTGAGATTGAGATGAGATGTTCCATCTGAGCGAGACTGATACCTCAAAAAGGTGAAAAAAGTATTATAACCTTCTTCCTTATTTCGTATGTTTTGGATATTTTTCACGTTTACATGTTTCAGGTCATAATACAAATTTTAGACTAAAATAAATAACCAGAGAAATTACAAAATGCAGTTTTTAAATGATGACTTCCATTACGAAGGGGTAAAAGCTATCCAAATCTACCTGGCTATATGTGAAAAAGGAATTGCCCCTCTTATTAAACATGAATTAACTGTGATTGACTAAATTTACCAAAATTTAAAAAAAGTATCTTGATGATCCTCACGAGCTTTGATAAAATATTATTTGAAATGAAGAGATTACGTGCAGCAAAACTAACACAGCATTTCAAGGGGTTCTAGGAGTGCTTTGCTGTTCAGGACCTGCACAGGTTGCAGTAATTGAATCATGAATTCTGCTCTCTACCAGAAAATCATGAAGGAGGCATTTTTTCCCATGAAACTCAGGCACACTTGAGTCATGCAACACAGCAATGACCCGAAGCACACCAGCAAGTCCACCTCTGAATGACTAAAAAGAAATTAATTAATTAAAAAAATGAAGGTTTGGGAGTGGCCTAGTCAAAGTTCAGACTAGTAGCAGAAGCACTTCATTATAGTTCTCGTTGTCAAAGGTGGCACAACCAGTTATTAGGTTTAGGTAGCGGCTACTTTTTCCACTTTTTTTAGGTTTGCTTTTTCCCTTAAAAACTGCATTTTGTATTTATTTATCAGGTTATCTTATTTTAAATGTATTAGACGATCTAAAACACTGTATGTCTTGGCAATGAGAGATAACAGGTCTCTTAAAAAAGTCCCCACAATGAGAAGGTTGTGGGCATGTCAATGAAGACAGACACAAGTTTGATCATCCGCAGTTTGTTTTCTCTTTGGTAGCTTTCCATTTTCCTTATTCCCCCTTGACTTTGTTTGCATTTGCTATTTTAATTTATTTTAAATTTGGTAACTAAAAACTCCTTGGTTAGGTTTAAGGTAAATATTGCAATTTGTGTTGAAATATGTCCCTTCAAAACACTGCATGCTGAAACACGTTTAAATACGAGAAATTGCTGCGAAGCGTCACAATTGAGAAACTTATTTGATTATCGTCTATGTTGAGTCACAGCTCAGTTTCCAAGGAACATACTTTTTGCATCTGTCAGGACACCAGCTGCATCGGCACAAACACACCACTTGGTGTTCTGGTAATGATAAGGGACTGCGATAACTCGTACAGCTAGACTAACTGAGGCAGAAGTTGTGTTTACAGACCGCAAAGATTCAAATCTTGCACAAACAGGTGAAAATCAGGTATAAAGCCAAAAATAAAAATGCACCAGAACAGACTTGGCCAGATGTGCCGTATAAAAGACCGCTAAGACTTGGAACCAGAAGGAGAGAGATGAAAGTAAAGGAAAAAATACTTGCCATTTTTCCCTGGAGTGGAAAAAATCCCAGCAGAGACAAAGTGAATGAACAAGCGAATCATCCCCCAGGGAGGTAAAGACGAGAGGGAAAAGAAAGGGGAAAGAAAAGACAGGGTAAAACCACAGGGGTCAAAGGTGACAATATTTTATTCACAGAACGAGTCCTGAATAGAAATATTGCATTTCGAACTAAAGGTTTTTAGCCCTTTGGATGCAAATGGAGACAGCGCTGATGGACAACACAAAGAGAGGCTTAAAATGCGGTTTCTAAAGTTAGGTTTGATATGCGTTTTTAGCGTTAGGATTAGCATTCTTCTGGCGATAGCATAAATCTGTGGAGTTAAAATACTTCTGTGATGCATTTGCATGAAAAATACGGTGCATTGAAATGAAGCGAGAAATATATACACCGCAGATCGTAACCTTAATGTTTAACCTTAACATTTTTCTCTGTTGATTATATGATACAGCAGAATTTCTCACGGCGACATAGCTGCTGCTCGTCCTCTTTGGTGGTTCATGGTTGGGGAATAGCTGCACCCATGTGGTTTTTCTTTTATATTCAGTCACTGCTTACTAATCCCACAAAGTATCCAGTAATGATGGATAGCAGAGAGATTTGGGAAATGAGGAATTAATTTACTTTTTGGGCTTTTAAATAAAAAATGTAATAAAAACCCTTGGCTTGTTTTGTGAGCTTCTTTAAAATGCTAAATTCATTCACAGTAACTCTGGATTTCAACATAAATCGATCTCTCATACACAAACAAGAAATAAAAATCTGCACCGACTTAACAAATGCGTGATAAATAGATGAGGGAATTGGGAGATTATGGTTTGGACTTGAACTGTGTTTTTAAACTGACATTTACAGTGCTCTGACTCTCTGAAAAGGAATAAAGCAGACAAGCCAGGCTTCAGTTTCAGAGATTAACGATGTTCTGCTGAGACTTTTGGATTCGATGCCTGCAAACAAGACAAAACCGATGACAAAGCACACAGAAGGGCAGACAGAAGAGGCGAGGCTTAGTGTGTTCAGAAGTATCCTGTCTTTCATTAGGAGTTATTTAACAAGGTTGTAAAAATCAAAGTGAGTCAAAAAGGAGAAAAGTGAGGAAAACAAAGACTCACACTAACTCATGTTCGGGGTACAGACTCACAGCTTTCTCCTTTATGGTTTCACCTTTAAATAATGCAAACATCCTGTCCTCTGTTTTTCCTGCTACAGTAGGTTAGTGCCAAAACCACATCTGAGGGCCATTGGAACAGGTGGGGGGTTAAATACACACTTGCACACACAGACCCGCACACACTGTCTGCGCCGCACTGTGGGTCCACATTGCATGCGAAGCGCTGCTTCTCAGAGCAAATAGCAGCTTGATTCAGTGTCACAGAACTGTCATTATTAATCAGAAACCAGCATATGAAGGAAAACAGATCATTAGAACAAAACGTTTCTGTCTTTGTGAGTCCGCCGCATCAGACAGAGTGAACCAAAGGAAAAGACGTTACATCCAAAGTCTGCCGGTGATAAGAGAATATGAAGAATACAGGGGCTGTGAGGCAAAAAACAGGAGGAGAATACTTGCCCAAAAACGCTGCAGGGGTCCAACACACCAGGAATGGTCAAGAGTTGAAGAAGGCAGGAGAACGTAAGAAGGGAGGACAGTGAAAAGATGAGGAGAGGAAAGAGGGAATTGGGAAAAGAGAGCCGGAAAGGAAGTAAGCCAACAGGGTTTACACAATATTTTATTCAAAGGGAAATTGAATAAGAATATTGTTCTACGAAAGTGCCCAACAGTTTAAGTAATCAGTTTGTGGAAAGCACAAAGGGGCAGTTTAACAAACGTTATGATATGTGGCAAAAATCTGTTCATTCAGTCATCTTATAAAAGCTTTATTTGATTTGTCTTGAGGAACAAAATGGTTTTTACATTTACATCTAAAGTGGAGCTCTTATTGTCACTACCATATTTCTGTTATTTGACTCTATTGAAGAAGCTTTGCATGAATTACAACTGCAATTCAATTCAATTCAATTTTATTTATATAGCGCCAAATCACAACAAAAGTCGCCTCAAGGCGCTTCATTCATTGCGCTTCACGCAAGAATTCTTATTTATGGTCCTTTTACCTCACACTTAGACTTGGTGGAGTTCCTCAGTTAATCTATTCCCTTTCCTTCTCTGTAACTTAATCTGATTGGCTGCTGCTTTAAAAACAGAAGGTTTAAACTGCAGGTGGGTGGGCCTTCAATGCTCAGAGTTACAGTTGCAGTGCACCTGTGACCATTTTTAATATGACCATTCTCTTTTATAGATCCTGAGGCTTGTAGGGATTAACCTTCACATACTGACTTGATCATGAAACTGATCATGGGCAGGTTCTTCTTTCATGGATAGACACATTAAAAAAAATTAAGAATAAAAACCACATTTTTAAGTGTGTGTGCACACTAATTTCAAACTGAATTTTCACACTAACAGCATCACACTTTAGCACAAAAGCAACTCTGCCTTATTAATTTAATTTGTTAGAATCAAGCTAAAAATTGTTCTATTCTGAACTATTTAATATTGCTAGTGTGTGCAAGGTTACTCTGCAATCAAAAACTAATCACTGTAATGAAAAAGAAATCAACTGTTATAACTTTAGAACTTTCAGCCAATACCAAAATCTCAGATGTTACAAAAAGCCTTTCCAAGAGACATTTTCAAACTGTCCACATGTATGATTATTGAAAGGTGATGAAATATAACAGACTGCCAGAATCAAGCAGGCTTTGTGTCTTTCCTGAAATAAGAAGTGTGCTGTGGTGGCTTAGAAGTCTTAAAATGTGTTTTGACCAGTATGACTGTAAGGTTTATGTAATATATGCAAAATCAAAAGTAATATTGCATTTACAAGATCCACAAATGTCCACTGAATGCAGACTCGAACCAGGCATGGCTCCAACCTAGCTGCAATGAATATAGACACACAATAAAAATGTCCTTTGAGTAACACTATAAGTCAATGACATCTTTTACTAGTGGGAACAGACAGATCTTAAAAGGGACATGACGACAACGCCACACATATGGACGCTCTGATCTGGTGTATATCATCTCACGACTGAGCACAAATGTATAAATACCCTCTTGGTGACACACGGGCAGGCTCACACACGCTGAGGTATTTGGCTTTAAACGAAGTGATGAGTACTATATGTGCGAAACGGGACACTGGAGCCTCTTGTCCCGCTTGTCTGGTGACAAAAACTTTGAACACCACCACAACTGAACGTGGGTTTTGCAATAGATACACAAGTGACAAGTGCAGGAAAGGAGAGAGCATGTAAATGAATTATCTGTATATATATTATCTCCATGTGAGCAAATATGGGGTGTGCTATAAGTGATGAATAGGAACTATAAAGAGACACACAAGTGTTTTTTAGCCCTTACATGGAGAGCATTGATGTCACTGGAGAATATTAACAGTCATTTTCCACCCACTGCCATGTATTTACTGTCTGTATATATAGAAAGTAAATATAAATGAGTGGAAAACCTTGAATAGCAAAAGAGACTGAACTGATTTAGTGTGGCACTTACATTTAGCCTGGGTGATTGTGTCGCCAATTGTTGCACGGATGTAATGCATGCTGTACTCGGGCAGGACTAGGGCCAGGCTGCGAGAGGACAAATGATAAAAACATGACATTTTGCTTTGGAAAAAAAATCCTCAGTCTTCCACCACAAATCTTTCAGCAAGGCTTGCAAAGTATTTTTAGCAGGAAGCATAATTTATCAGTTCACATGCAGTAAGCTGCGCAGACTGGTTTCCAAAAGTTTATTCCAAATTGTGTCTGGATATTGCCCTTACCACGGATCAGTTTTAATGAGCACAAAACAGAATTATGACTATGTAAAGTAGGAATGCAAAACATGCACGGGGTTAAAAAAAAGCCCACCATCTGCATGCACCAAATCTACCATCGCCGAAATCATAGTCAAAATATTTTGCGTACCTGTAGTCTGTCCCCTTCACCGGCGCAAAGGTGTACATCCTCTGACCTCGATCGATGTAACGCTTTAGGGAAGAATATTATGACTATATATATGTGTATAAGCTGACAAAATGACCAAATTATCATGATCACGCATCATCAAATAAAATTACCTTATCTGTTGATTTCAGCAGTGTAGATATAGTCGTACTTCCTGTTTCACCTTCAATCATTTGTTTTCTTATCTGTTGACCAAACATTACAAATAAATGATACTATAGTGACACCTCACTTATTAGGATTAATTTGATAGATGTCTAGGGGGCCAGATTGGAGTCTTTTTGGATCCAGGCCATTCATTTGGCAACCCTGTATTACAGTTTATCTGATTTTGATGTGACCTCCTGCAATTATAGGAGTCAGAGAAATGTGTTTTTCAAACCTGCACTTTGATGTCATCCTCGATCTCTGCATCTAGGAAATCCAGTGTTACAGGTTCATGAAACTTGGCGGTCTGCGCAGAAATGTGAGCAATTAGTGTTGTGTACCAAAAAATGTTGGCAGGGGGAAAAGAAAAAACAGAGAGAGACTAGTAATCGTCTCTTACTGATGTATTTCCAAGAAACTATTTTGACATTTTGCAGTCTTATTATGAAATAATTTGCTGTAATCATTTGTAATCAATTTGTGCATACAACATTTACAAGAAAATGCATATCTCAATGACGCCCGTGTTGCTTCGCTTCAACAAACACCATCCTGGAGCCATATGGCTGACTTGTGTATAATAAACAACGAAAGTCCGCCAAATAACACAGTCAGTGTAGAAATCCAAGCAAACATCCTATTGGCAACAGAAATGACTATAGCAGACTGGTAAGAAAGAAAAAAAAAAAAAGAAACATCTCACATCTGATACACAGAAACACAACCTTTCTGCAAAGGTTCATCCTGCAACATGATTGCTAAAACTCAACATAAGTGCTCCCACAGGCTGCAAAACCATAACAATAAGCCTGTTGATAATCAGGAATGCGATTTTTCATGACTGTTTGACTGGCGTTAACGATCATCTAATGGTTTTTAACGTAAGAAGCAAATCTTTGGAGAGACAAATCAATTTTTCACAAGTTCTGCCTACCTGTGGGTTCAGATTAGGATGAAGCAACACGTATCCATTTGGATCGATGGCAAAGTAGTAGCCATTTGGACCAAACTAGAAGAACAAAAGAACAGAGGAGCAAATGTCTGTGTGAAAGAGGACTGCAACTAATAATTAAATGTAATATCTACCCTATTCATACACAGGATCTGTGTGTCTTTATTTGTGTTGCCCTTACAGTGTACTGAGGAGTCAGTCTCCTGATATCATCCAGGGACACATCTATCGCCATAACCCCCAAGATAAGCTGGTTTTGAGGTTTCTAAGAGAAAGCCATAAGAAAGAACAGTTAAAAAACAATCACTGCAAGAACTCCTACTTTAAATCCTGCTGCTCTTTTTGGATGAGTCAAGTCCCTTTGTGCATTCTGAACGATTTCAAGGAAATGGGGTGCAACAGAAATCTGGACAGTTTAATTCCCAATAGTGTCACGTGTTGCAATGAGTCACTGACAAGGCATTTCCAGGCTTGTTTTCAGTCAGAGTGGAGGTAAGCCCGAGTCCTTCGAGGTAGACATGTGACCTCATCTTGAAGCACTTAGCTACCGGATCATTTCTCACTCTGATCTGCAGTTTTGATCTCATTTTGATTTCTGTTTTACGACATGCTAGATTCTCTTCTTGTGGCGAGCTTCGGGGGACCACCGCATCAACAGAGGATGTAAGTTAGAGCCACAAGAGAGCAGAGGATAAAAGTAAAGGATGAGACTGTAATTGTATGTTTACTTTTTGGTCTGGTAAACTTTATGGAGTATCCCAAAACCACAGACTTAAATCCTCTCATGGGGTCAAAGTGTCAGGCATACAGTACATTTATTTTGTGAGTCAAATGCAACAAAGAACGATGTGAAAGAACACAGAATGAATAAGTTAAGGCACAAAACAAAAGCAGGCGAGAATGATTTAAGTGATTAAAAAAAATGGTAACATAGGAGTCCAACAGTGGTTCTGGATACCTTTGAGCCTGTGCCGGTTTTGTTGAAGACAGGCAGCGTTCCAGTGATCACCAGGCCAAGCTCCTGCAAGGTTAAACAGGCACAGTTTAAACACAAGTCACTCCCAGGTGTAAACAAAAGCAATCTCATAATTCTAATCTCGGGTTCACACCATGATGTGCTTTACATACAGGAAATTTATTGGTGCTAGTGGTTAACACATAAGTCTAAGAAGTAAACAGGAAGAGCAGCCGGCATAAAAAATAAAATCTGTCAAATCAAACATGTGGAGGTACCCACTGTGGTGACCCCTTTTGATTAAAGGAGTAGGTCAAGGTAGACTTTAATCATGCTAAACGGCCTGTCTCACCAATCTCGCCGATGTTTGCTGTATGTCTGGGGGCCTACCTTTACAACCACATTGACTGTTGTGTCTGGTGTTTAAATGAAACCCAGCTTATTTGATTTTAGATTAAGGTAATTTGGAATTGTATTCTACACAAAAATCAGACACAATATGAGAGACAGAAACAGATGCTCTCAGAAGATTAATGCTTAGTGGTGTCTAACGCAGTCTCAGCATATGATAGCAATGCCTTACTGCACGTCATTTTCTGTTTCTGTGCAATTTTGTATCTTGTATGTCAAATTTGTATGCATTTTATATGATTCTTTTTTTTTTATACTGCTTTAATGACTAGATGTCAGATAAAATCCAGGATGTCTCCAGTAATAAAAGACAGATATTTCCAGTGCTGACATGAGGTCAATACTGTTCCAAACACTGACAGTATCCAAACCAGTTGGCTCACTTTATCAGTATTCTTATCTGAATTTCAACTGGGAAGTAAATCTTAATGACTTAACGACCACGATCTTCTTTATTTTATTATATTTTCTTTTTTATCAAATAATGTTTCGCAAACACTACTTCAGCAGAGTTCGGCTGAGCAGGATGACACCACCATGTTTAGTATTACTAAATAAAACTTATCTGAAATTCTTCAGAAGACATAAAACAGATTTCTTCTAATTCCAGAGCTCTACACAAGCGACAGAGTCTCTGCTTCCACACTCTTTCAATGTAATGCAATGCATTTTGGTTACAACACTTAACATACCAAAGCATCCAGGTAGACGTTAGTCCACTGAACGTGCTTGGCCTTTTGTTTAGCTTTAACCATAGGCCTGCCCAGAACATCCAGGTACTCCTGCCAAGAGGATGAAGGGAAGAATATTACTTTTGAACCTGCACATGAGGCATTCTACCACAAGAGGGCACAGCACACAAGTGGTTAAGTAAGCGAGGTGGGACTTTGACATGAAAAACAGTGCAGAAATACTGCATGAGCGTGACTGAATGTGTATTTACCTGAGTATTTAGCCGAATGGCACCTATAGATGGGATCTCATAGTAATAACCTAAGGAAGAAAAATATTTTTTAAATTTTATAAACAAAAAACAAACACCCCCCTCCCCCCAAGAAAAGAAAAACATATTGATATTGAACAGCAAAAAAACATGTTAATAATCATCCTCACTCCAGATGCTGTGTAAACGCTAAAATTTACCACTTTATCATCTAGTCTCCACCTGGTCGCAATTACCTACAATTAGCCTCACTGACTGGTACTGGGTTGCACTTTTCCTTCATAACTGTCTTAAATGTTTGTGGCATAGATTCAAGAAGGAACTGGAAAATGTTTTAAGGCAGACTGACACGATAGCATCGCACAGATGCTGCAGATTTGTCAGCTGCAAAACCATGATGTGACTCATCCATTCCACCATCCCAATCCCAAAAGTCCTTTTATTTGAATGATCTGTGGTGATTCTGGAGGCCATCTGAGCTCAATGTCATGTTCAAGAAACCAGTATGAGATTATATGAGCTGCTGGAAGCGCCCGTCAGAAGATGGGTACACTGGTTACTAGTAATTGATATGATCAACATCAATATTCAGGTAAGTTATGACATTTAAACCATGATCAGCTGATACTAAGGGGCGCAAAGTGTGCCGAGAAATGATCCCCCACACCATTAGCAGACTGTATGCTGATACAAGTTATGGCGGATCCATGCTTATATGTTACTTTGATTAAATTCTGACTCTAGCATTTGAATAGCGCAGCAGAAACTGAGACTGATAAAACTCTGCAGCATTTTTCAAGTCATATTTTGTTCGTCCCATGTGAACTATCACATCAGTTCTGTGTTTTTAAACCACAGAACTGCTGCTCTCTGAATATTTTCTCTTTTTCAGATTGTTGTCTGTAAACCGCAGAGATGGCTGCCATAGGTGAGAAGTTTCTCCTGCTCTGTATTTGTATGCACACTTGTGTCCCTCTGCCTGCCTTCTTCCTGTGATCATCATCATGGAACCTTCAGTCACTCACATACCAGGCTGATCAGAAGGTTTGGGTTAAATTCCTGGCTGCTCCATACCAAATATCCTTGGGCAAGAAAATAACTCAGAGTTGTTTTCCAGCTCATTCATCAGATTATGAATGTAGCGATTGGTAGATAGGTATGTCAAGTACGTTGATTTTCCTGCCATGTGATTTGCTGATTAGATATTTGCGTTAAACAGGTGTAGCTAATAAAGGGGGCAGTGCGAGTATGCATTTAAAACCTTGTTGTTACAATAAAAATATGTTATTTACAAAGGTGTCACAATGGTACCTATAGAATATATTTTATACTACAGATGAAAATTCAGGTGAATGAAACAAACGTGTCACAAGCTCTCTAAACCTCCAATGGACCCTGTAATGTACCTTTATTGTTGCAGGCCATCGACTGTATCGGCGCCTTGTCGTAGTTGTGTTTACCTACTGAAAACGTAAAGACACGCACCTACGAGGAAAAGAGGAAGCAATCAAATCAAATATGCTAAAAGGCTCATTCTGGTATTTCACTCTGAACATTGTAAAAGAGTGTTTACAGGCTTACGTTTTTTTGTGGGTTTTCAAGTTGAAAGATCTTCTCTGCTCTATCCTCTCCGCCATCAGTGAAAAGCATAATAATCTTGTTACAGTTGGCCCTAGAGTAATTCATCTAATGGAAACAAGGAGATGGAAATAAAACTAACCACTATTTAACCAAGGATAAATAAAAACAGCCAAAAGAAGACGATGAAAAAAGAATTTGACTTGCTGCTACTGTTAGAAAAGATGAAGAGGAATTAAACGGCAGCTCTGATACTAATAAAAATCAAACCTGCAATATCTGAAACAACCAGAGGAGGTCGACACATACCCAGTATTCAGGAGAAGCCCACTGGGATTGAGTTGTTAGTGTGTCCTACAGTGTTTGCTGTCATTATTCTTACAATTATTATTGAGCACTGTTTAAGGAACAATAGTGTATAACGCAATTTAACACAAAAAGCTCAATGCATCAACCAAGTATAACCCTAGACCAGGGGTGTCCAACTCTAGGCATTGAGTGCCAGTGTCCTGCAGGTTTAAGCGGATTCAAATTGCTAAATGACCTCCTCAACATGTCTTGAAGTTCTCCAGAGCCCTGGTAATGAACTAATCATTGGATTCAGGTATGTTGACCCAAGGTGATATCTAAAACCTGCAGGACACTGGCACTCGAGGCCTGGAGTTGCCTACCCCTGCCCTAGAAACACGTTACCTGTTTAAGCTGTTCAAAGGCCGTCTCAAAGCCAGCTGTGTAATTGGTGCTGAGATTCGCAGTGATGTTCTCCACAGCGTTTTTCAGTATCTTCTTGTTCCTTACATTAGCCTGCACAAGGTTCCCAAAGCACGACACATTCTTGGCGACATTTTGGAACTGGAGGGAAAAGGTAAGGAGGGATGACGGGAAGTGCAGGGAAGACACTTACACATATTTTCTATTAAATATGTGGCTCCCCCCCCTCCCCTTCATTGCAGAACCATGTAAAGACACTTCAACATTCAGGATAAAAAGATTAAAGCGATTCCATTTGAAACAATATACAGTGATTACTGACATATGTCACTCGTGTGAAATGAAATCAGTTTTAATCAAATCTGGACTGACCGAAGGGAGCTATAGGAGAAGAAGAATTGGAAGGAGAGCAGGTAAGGGCATGAAAAGAGTGGCATAAGGAGGTAAAAACAAAACAACAACAAAAGCTTTATTACCAAAGAATTATTTACTTGAAGCAGAAATCACATTAAAAGGTTAAATTACATTTACACAGATTCACACGTGAAGCATCTTCATGTTAATATTGGTGAATAGTTAATGTGGAGGAACAGATGGAACTCAATCAATTTGAGTCAATTAATGCACACACCTACCCGCCACGTGCACACGCACACATATAATCACACATACACAGAGTACGGACTTTGGTACATGGCTCATTAATGCCAAACATCTGTTTTGGACTTGAGTGCACCCCTCCAATCATGATCAAGTTCAACACTGGCACAAAAACAAACACTGAAACTTGTGCAAATACGAAAGAGGTGCAAAATAAATTCTGCTTTTTAGTAGAATAGTATGAAAAAGTGTTTTTCCTCTTCCTGATCACCTAGTGTTTTGCATATGTTTCAGATCATCAAACAAATTTTAATATTAGACAAAGATAACCCAAGTAATATAATATAAAATGCAGCTTATAAAAGATGATTTCATTGATTAGGAAGAAAGGTTCTCCAAACCTACCTTGTCCTCTGTGAAAAAGTAATTGGCCCTCTTGTTAAATCATGAATTAATTGTGATTAACCACATTTTTTAGAAAGCTGAGTTCAGTTTCACTAAACAATCAAGAAATCACTTAAATAGAACCTGTCTGAAAAAGTGAAGCAGGCTCAAAAAGCAACAAATCCCGCAACGATCTCAAGAAACGCCTGAGACACAAAGTCACTGACATCTGTCAGTCTGGAAAGGGTTGCAAAGGGTTACAAATTTCTAAGGCAGATTTCTAAGGCAGTAAACCACGCTGAGAGCCATTATACACAAATGGAGACAACTTGGAACAGTGGTGAACCTTCCCAGGATTGGTCGGCCTACCAAAATTATTCCAAAAGCACATCGATGACTCATCCAGGAGGTCACAAAATAGCTCAGAACAACATTAATGAGCTGCAGGTTTCACGTGTCTCAGTTAAGGTCAGAGTTCATAATCCAACAATAAGAAAGAGACTGGCCAAAAATAGTGAAAACCATTGCTGACCAAAAGAGCCTAGGCTCGTCTCACATTTGCCAAAAAACATCTTAAAGATTCCCAAGACATCTGGAAAAATATTCTGTGGACTAACGAGACAAAAGTTAAACTTTTAGGAAGGTCTGAGTCCTGTTATATCTGGCATAAAACTAACACAGCATTTCAGAAAAGGAACTTCATAACAACAGTAAAGTATGGTTGTGGTAGTGTGATGGTTTGGGGTCGTTTTGCCTCAGGACCTGGAAGACCTGCTGTTGTTATTGGAACTATGAATTCTGCTGTGTACCAAAACTACTGCTGTCTGCTACTGTGGCAATGATGAGTGGGACAAAATTCCTTCACAGCGCTGCAAAAGACTCATCGCCAGTCATTGCGAATGCTTGATTGCAGTTGTTGCTGCTGAGGGTTGTCCAACCAGTTATTAGGTTTAGGGGGCAATCACTTTTTCACACAGGGCCATGTAGGTTTGGATTTTCTTCACCCTTAATAATAAATTAAGAAACGGCACTTTGTGTTTACTTATACTATCTTTGTCTAATATTTAAATTTGTCTGATGATCTGAAACATTTAAGATTGACAAACATACAAAACAAACAGGAAATCGGCAAGGGGGCAAACACTTTTTCTCACCACTGTAGTTAAGGATTCTCTCTCTAGCTGAAAACAGGCTTGAACAACATGGAAATAATAAAAATGGCACATAAACTCTGAACAAACTACAGAAATAAGGCAGATGGCCACCCCTCCCTGAGCCTGGTTCTGCTGGAGGTTTCTTCCAGTTAAAAAGGAGTTTTTCCTTCATATGATGGTCGTATGATTGTTGACGTTTTATCTGTTGTATTACTATAGGGTCTACCTTACAATATAAAGTGCCTGAGGAGGCTGTTGTTGTGATTTGGTTTTGTATAAATAAAACTGAATCGAACTGAAAGTTGTCAGAACACCATTAAGTATAACAGAGGTAAAGTACCCTGACTATTCTAGGCACAGCATTTACAAAATAATATTAGGCTATTTACGTAGAAACATTTCAATCTGAGACAAAACGGAACAAAAACCAGGCAAATGACAAATTCTGTTATGCTTTTAGAACACTCGAGGCTCGCAGCTTGCAGTATCTGTTTCCAAATATTCAACATGTTGGCAGAAGTTTCAGGGCATATGCTGCCAAGACATTCATCCTCAAAGACACATGCCTACACACATGCACATGTACAAACTTCCTTCATCTAACTAATAATAAAGATCTGAAAATATCATAGAAACAGCAATAAAAAAGCCACCAGCCTTTATACCTTGAAAATAAAGAAATAAACTTGTAATTGAACATAAGAAAATTTGAACTTTTTTACTATCTTGTTTCAGTTGACAGAGGTTTGATGGCATTAGGTTATGTACAGCTCTCCTAAGGCCCCACCACAGCACTTCAGTCAGGTTGAGGTCTGGGCTTTGATTGGGGCATTGGAACAGCTTGACTCATATTGACTTGATTCATAATTTTTTTGTGCTGCTGTGGAAAGAATTATTATCCTGTTGCATGATCCAGCTTTGAATACTTTGGTATACAAGGGAGGTCATGGTTGAGTCCTAGACATTAAGATGTCCAAGTCCTGTGGCTGCAAATGAATCCCAAATCATCACCATGCTTGTTTGTTTTTTGCCATACATTATAGCCAAACAGCTCCCCTTAATTCGTATCTGTCCAAAAGACAAACTGCTGAAAGATCTGCTTTTATTGAGGTGGTTACACTTGCAGATCAATTATTCAAGAGCATTTGATTAGTGGCTCATGGCTGCTACTTAACCTCTTAATGCCTAAGGAAGCAGTAAGGGTATATCTAGTTTCTCACAAGACTCCTTTGTAAACTCTCCTTTTCACATGGCATTAAGTAGAAACAACAAATTAAATATATACAGAATAAAGACAATGTTAAACTAGTGACTGACAGATAAAGCACATACAGCATACCAGACAGATGGATGGATGCATTTTAAGATTGTTACTTATTGAATTAACAGGAATTTTCAACTCTAAAATAATTGAGAAGCCTTTGGTTTGCTGGTTTGGTTCCACTTTCCTTCCTGTTAGTTAAAAAAATACTTTCTCCCTTCAAGAAAGCTTTCCGTTAATCTAATAGAAAATTAGGAACTATATGAAATAAGGGAGTCCAAGTATAAGGCATACATGTTCCATTATAAATGGTTAGATGACAACTAGCTGTCAGCCATATAGAATTTGGTCAGAAAGGTGTGTGATGTGAGAGTGACATGGCAACATTCTGGGAAAGCCAACTTGAAATAGCGATTAGACTTGCACATATCAAATTTTTAAGCTTCAAAATGTAGTCTACAGTTTACAAACTTCGCTGGATTTGATCAATATACCTATTACACGTGCGCCTTATTTCATTAACTTCAAGGGCCTTTCTACTTAGCTGATATGACAGCCCCGAACCAAATGTTCAGCTGAAACCGCTGCTTTATTAGGGGAAGTGGAAGAAAATGTAATTAATGCTTAATATGGAAAGAAAACTGAAACATAATGGGTATTTCCTACTGTTAGAAGAATGTGAAGGAAGGGCAAAGATAACAATACGGATAAAGGAGATTTTAGACAGGACCAGAAGACTTCTGTGCCTAAGCAAGTGGAGCAATTCATTCGACTGCAGCAGAGATGTTTGATCCCAGGCAACCAATCTGTAGTATAAATGCTACTCTTATAAACCCGGGTGATTTATGTCCACGCTGAACATAGAACACATTAAAACTTAAGTATGTGATGTGAAACTAAGTACCTGCATACCTCTTAATGCATGGACTTGTAAGGAAGAAGCTTACATTACATCCAGTCTCTGGTTTGCTTAGTCCAGCTGAAAGCTATCTGGGCCCTATCAGGACAAAATCTTGCCAAAGCTAAACACAAGCTGTGTTTTAGCTGTCCCCACACAGGCATAGAAATGGGTTATCGATCACTCAGAGTTAAATAAAGAAATTCTCTGGTCAAGCTCTGTTATATTTAATGAATCATCATCATAAACAGCACAGGTAGGTCCCACCTTTGACACCTACAGTAATCACTTCTATCTGAATAACAAACTGTTACAGTAGGTGTTACAATAGGCCAGGCTCAGATACTGAGACACAGTCTGACACTTCACAACTTATATACTTACTTTATAATTCTGCATCTGGATTTATGCCATTTATACAACAACAGACTAATAGAGTTCCACTGTTCATGTGAAAGACCGATGCTTGAGAAAAACATGGCTCAAATGCTTTCTGGCACATTTGAGGCTGAAACAATCTTTTGCAATTTTCTAGTTACTTTCTTTGGATTTGATTTTGGATATTTTCTCCTTCACACAAAAAGATCTACAGAGAGATGTCTCTAGAGCGCATTCCTCTACATCACAAAAGATATTAGCTCACTACATATGCCAAGGGACAGACAAAAACTGAGTTTGAGGGTTGCCTTTAAGCAGCCGTGCCACAAAGGGTCCAAATTAAGTTAGGGTGTTTGCATTTAAGCCCTTATCACAGCTAATATAATTGTCTCCAATATCTCTTTGGGACTACTCAAATTCTTTCAGCTGGGGGACATTACCAGTATAACCCTTTTCAACTGTGTTATTTTTCTTTCCACAAGTAATATCTGTAGGAGGCAGAAAAGCTTTAACTGACCAGGCGATGGAGCTCTAAATGATGATGGATGAATATTTCCCCTATCCCCATGGCAGTAAAGCTTTGATGCCTGAGGGTCCTACCGAATTTCAATTGGGCAGTTGGGCAATTTCCACTACATGCCTCTGATTCAAAGTGAAATAAAAAAGAAAAGAAAAAAAAAAGCATACTTTGATTCATCAAACTTATCCTGTGGCCTTTTGTGGCTCACCCAAGCTGTGTTTTGTGTTGTCACATATAAAATACTAAATAAATATACACACACACCATATGTGTCAGATAAATGAGCTTACAAGCATGCATGCATCCACACACGACTGCAGCCACAATGAAGATCTATCCATGTGTCGTCCATGAAATTACTAGAAAGGCCGCTGCCATGTTTAGACCAATGACTCGATCCAGGCCAAGGCTGCTTAAACAGCCAAACCACCGCATTAACAAGAAGTCCGCATTAATATTCATCACTGCGCGTGCCTGAAAATTCATTCATTCATTCATTCTGAACAGACAGATGATGAGATCAAAGCATTAGCTGTGTGAGTACTCACAGAAACCACGTTCACAAAGTCATCATCCGAGAGGGTCTCCAGCATCTTGCTGACGGATATTTTGATGAGTTTGAGCGTGAGCCCCGACACGCTGCCGCTCCTGAAGATCAAAAACAGAAACAAACTTTGTCTTAGTTACGATATCTATCAGAATAATCAAGTATTTTGTAAAAGGGGCAGTAAAATGTTCTTTTAACATAACTTCATGTTTCCAGACAGTGGAAAAATGTCAGTCTAAGTTTTGCTGGATCTCAGTGCAGCATTTGATACAGTTGACCACAACATATTACTCAAACGACTGGAGAACTGGGCAGGTCTTTCAGGAACTGTACTAAACTGGTTCAAAACATACTAAAAAAAAAAGGAAATACTTTGTATCGATAGGTTAACTTCACATCTGAGCAGACAAGTATCACATGTGGAATTCCCCAAGGTTCCATCTTGGGACCCCTTCTGTTTAACATTTACATGCTCCCACTTTCACAGATTATAAAGAACAACAAAATAAACTATCATAGCTATGCAGATGACACACAAATATATATCACAATGTCACCAGGAGACCGAGGCCCTGTACAGGCTCTTGGTAAATGCATTGAGGAAATTAATGACTGGTTGTGCCACAATTTTCTCTAGCTAAACAAAAACAAAACTGAAGTAATAGTCT